TCAAGTTATTAGAGAAATATTTGGTTGCACTTTATTTTAAGGTGTCCTTGTTAGTGTAATTATACATATAAGTACTGAGTAATATGAATTATCTGCATGTACTTACTATATGGTTAGGGTTAGGATTTGGGTTTGACTTGCATGTAATTATACATAATTAATTGTTATTATAATAGTAAGTACATGTAACATGTGTAACAAGGACACCTTAAAATAAAGTGTTACCAAATATTCTTTGTATTCATGTCAGTTTCATATGGTTTTGAAAAACTTTTACACCGGTTGGAATTTGATGACTCCAAAAATGTCATGTGGTGTAACCATCAAGTAAAAAAATATTAATATTTGCACCTTACATACAGTTAGAGCACTCATCTTAATTGTGTAGGAATACATTTTTTTAAAAAGGCATTTAATTATGTTTATTTATTTTTATAATTGTAATCAATAATTAACTTACTGAAATATCATTACATTTTAGGGGAGTTGCACCACATGACATTTTACGGTTTGATCTACCCTTTAGTTTAAGAGATCTTAAGAGACACAATCGATACAATTATTTCATATATTAATAAGCATGTCTGCTAAAATCAAAAATAAATAAATAAAAAGATTATGCTAAACTAAAGGTTTTCTATTCCATCATTTTAATATGTAATGAGGATTTATTCATCGTTATATTAGAGCAGATGTATGACCTTGACATTTTTATTACCCCCTCAAAAATATACACATTTTAATACAATTAAAAACATGCTTATCATATTCAAGTCAAGGTTCATATTCATTCCATATTTAATGTGTTTACTGATAAATAAACAGATCTGAAAAATAAAAGTGTCATGTCATTGTGTTGGAGGACAAAACTCAACGACCAATGAGCTACAAGCTTTTAAGTCACGGGAACACATAAGACTCATATTCTTTGAACTCTCTCGGTTGTCCTTCTCTTTCCCTTCTCGGTCACTTTTGACACTGCTATATATTTAGGTAATAAGGTCTGAGCTGAAAGCCCCATCACAAAGACGGTCATTGACTAACAGCGGGTAATAAGATTACACCAGGCCTGCAGTAAGACTGCTTTAAGCCCACGGGAGTGTTTCTAACCCCTGCCCTAAAAACCTGCAGGGATCACAGACACAAGCACACAGAGCACATCTAATATTCACTGCCTGCCTTTACACTTCATGAGATAAAACCAGCACATTCACTATAAATACAGAGCTCAGAGTGGCCGCTTCAAGCGACTGAAGAGTTTCATGCATTTGAATGGGAAATCTCCATCTGTTCAAAGACTTCAAAGATTAACCCAGCCTTCAGAAGACCAATGAGAGGGAAAACACTGCCATACAGTATTACCACAGCACTTTAGCCACGTTTCAATATCATGCGATTAACTTTATATGTGGCACTACATGGCTGTGATACTCTGGGATGCTTTAATGAATCCGGTGCGATTTTCTTTCTTCAGTGGAACACAAAAGAAGAAGCTCTGAAGAATGTTCACACTGCTCTTTACTCTACAATGACCACTTCTCACTCTTTGCCTTTCTCTTTCTCTATTCTTCTGAGAGGTTTAGACACTTCAACGTAGGGCTGGGTGACATAGCAAAACAAAAAATATACATTTGTGTCATCCTTTTGAAATATTCATAAAGATATGTATATGCTCATCATATTTACATATTAGCTCTGAAATAACTTAAAGCGATAGCTGACCCAAAAATAAAACATTATTTTGTGTTCCACAGAATTAAGTTATACAGGTTTGGAATGACACAAGAAAAAAAACAAAAAAAACATGAAATATCCCAATAAATTGTCTGCCAGCAAAATCATCTTGAATATTTCATATATCACCCAGTCCTACTTCGGAGTATAATAATAATACACCCACTAAAAGCACACTTGAATTGGTAAGAGGGCTGGATCACATCTATCTGGTCATATCTTCTCACACCATCATTATACATTCCTCTTTTCTTACGCTCCTGTAGTTCCTCTGTCCCGTAGACCTTAAACAGTGTGAAAACTAAACTGACGACAGTAGACGAGACTCTTGAGTTCAGCGTTCTGTGAAGAGACCACAGCTACACATCACGCAAGCCTAGCCTAGAAATATTCCTTTCACTAAAAGCTTCCTTCCCAGAAAACGCAAACTAGATGACAAAAAAAGCCCAGTCTTGGAAAAGGACAGACTGCAACATCAAAGCCTTGGGCTGTAATGGTTAAACCCCCCTGGAAATGGTTTGATGAGTGCAATCTTCCTTCTTTCATTTCCTATAGGCCAGACACATTAAAGGGCTTGTCTTTTTTTTAATAGTCAATAGCCTTTAGTTTATGACACAATCAGGAACTGTGATTTTCTGGTCAGTTGCAGGTGGTTGGGGAAGGGTGTTCTCATTCTAGAGAGATCTGATTGGACGATAATTAGCATACGCCCCTAAGTGCAAGATGAGTCATCAATATTATATTCTGTTTTCCGGGAGGAGAAGTAACTGCTTAAAATAATGCATTTCAAGGCCTCAAAACTGACCGGCATGCATTAAAAGCCCCAAAACTTCACGCCTGAGTTTATGGTGTCTCTCTCTACAGCCTGATGAGCAGAAGGTTGCTGGTTCAATCCCAAGATGGAGAGAGCCACGAGCTATCATATGACTACAGCACTTAACCCCAGGTTACTCCAGCGGGATCGTCCTGGATATCCGTGTCACTTAGCAGATGAAGAAGCAAAACTGTAACTGACTAAACTGTAAATGTAAGTGAAAAAAATGTAAGTGGTGCTTGCCTGGTCAAAACTCACCAACACGATGCTAAAGGTCTTCTGATATTCTGGTCTCTAGCCCTTGTATTACGTTTAAAATCTGGGTGTGATCATTATGGTCAGGGTCAGATTGACCCTAATTAGAACAAAATTAACTAAATAAATAAATAAAAAGAACAACAACAACAAAAATCACACTATGAAAAGCGAAAACAAAATCAGGTGAAACAGTGAAGTTTAATGCTATTATTTCACACACAACACCAAAAATTTATGTGATTTTAATAGGGATGCACCGAATGTTCGGCAACCGAAATTATTCGGCCGAAAATAGCAAAAAAAAGCTCCGAAAAGACAGAATAAACTGTACTGAACAATGACGTGACGCTATCAAATAGCAACCAGCGTAGAGTGACACCGTGTCTACACCGGTCGCTAAAAAGTCTGTCTACACTGGACGCGACAAAGCGACCGTTGAAAATCATTTGAAATTTGTGTCAATACGTCATAAATAGAACGCGGCATCAGTTTTCTGTCGGGGATTTGTCGTGTCGTGCCGCGCCACATCCAGTGTAGACAGCATCACTGACTATAATAAGTTCTATAGTATTTGTCGCGCCGCTCGCGTCCGGTGTAGACACGGTGTGAGAGGCGCGCACTCTTTATGCACACACGTCAGCAGTGTGGAAGCATTTAAACTGTCCGAGAAAGACGCAAAAATCATTATAAGCACCGACAGCGAGAGACTGTTTAGTACTGCAGTGCATGTCTTCGATGAGAAGAGGAAGGGCTGATTGTTGCTGGTTACTGTAGGATGATTGAAATCGCGAAATGGCCTTAAACAATTAGTAAATAAACTGCAGAACGTCATGTTTTCTAATACACGCACAAATTGCATGTATTCTGACAGCGCTGCACAAACTCGCTGCGCTATCTGCTTGTTAACCAGGGTTCAAAGTCCAAAGCGCGAGGAAAAACTGCGCTGAACCAGTGTTAAGGCTTGTTCACACCAGGACGAATATCGCGCGCGATTATCGCCGACGTTTAACGACTTGTGACTAAACAAAGGGCGCCAATGTGAGTGTGCACACCGACGCGCAAAACACGAGGCGTAAAAAACTGGCTGACCAATGAGATTGCCGCTTTTGTTCACGTGCCTGGAGCTGCTGAAGTTACAGTAAAACACGACTTGGTGGCGCTCAAGCACAAAACGGTCTTGCCGAACACACATTGATACCTAACTACGAAGAGGAAGTAAGTAGACCAAGAAGATGCATGGAGGCAAGATGAATGTAGAGCTGCTGGTCTCATTGGTGTCTGAACACAAAGGGCTTTATGACAAACGCGACAGCGACTACAAAAATCTCGATAAGAGGGAGTTGTTATGGAGAGGAATTGCAGATCAAATAGGATTCGATGTGTACCGGGGTATTTCTGTTTTTCATTAAGCGCCATCTAATGTCAGGGAGTGAATTTGCACGTTCACTCGGCTCATCGCCAGCGAAAATCGCTTGGGTATGAACACAAAAGACGCGTCGAAAAACGTCGGCGATAAGCGTGCGCGATAATCGTCCCGGTGTGTACGAGGCTTTACTCGTTTTTCACAAGGCATGCGACAAAGCGATACGTGCGACGTATTCATAATGAGACTCATTTATAAATCTGTTGTCAACAAAAAGAAGCATTGAGGTTTTCCTGCGCATTTCCGCCAAAACAAAAGTTGAGAAAAAGCAAGAACTCAATCAACATTCATAAATGTTAGCATTGTAATTTTACTGTTGTTCTGAAAAAAATAAAAAGTAAGACAATAATAATGATAATAATAATTACAACAGCTCTGTTTTAATACATTTTTTTATAACATACACACATAGTGTTCAAATTAGGATCTGTAATATTTTCTAATGTTTTAAAAGAAGTCTCTTCTCAGCAAGGCTGCTTTTATTTGTACAGTCAAAAAAAAAATACATGCCTGATTCAAGAAGGGGGTCTGATGGCCAAAAAATATTATCTTACTAACTTATTAATTTTAAGTTAAATTGTGCTTTGTTGGTATAATGTCTGCTAGAATGTTAAAAAATGTTCAGTGTTAAATATTTTTAAACTGTTTTTTTAATTGATTTTTTATTTGAAAAGCAAGACAAAACAGTAAAAAGCACATTTCGGCTATTTAATTTATGCAATGGTGAAAAAAATTGGCAAAATACGTGGTGGGTGTTCGGTAGTGTTTCATTTTGTTCGGTTTCGGCTTCGGCCAAGAATTTTCATTTCGGTGCATCCCTAGCATCCCTAGAT